CAAGAAGTCGTAACATTTTATCATTTAATCCCAACTGTTCCGACAAAACAGTAAAAAAAAAAAAATCGTATAGCGAGCGTATTTTCAATGTTTTAATCGTTGTAAAGAGAAAATTTCAATCTTCAAATCTAGGATTTAGTTGCGAGAAAAATTTTTTAATATTCTTACACGTGTACGAGTTCTTACAATTTTTCGAGACGAACGTATCCTTACTTTTCCACCCGTCACACGATGAGATAAAATCATTTTTGAAAGAAACAAAGTCACTCGCTACCATCTAAAGTAGAGACTTCACAAAACCAAATGGATTGTTGTACAATTTTGCTTATGCTCTTCGCTGTATATAAAAGTGGGAAAAACAAAAGAAATAATTTTTTGGTAGGAATATATCGCGAAAGAGACGAGTTCAGTATTAAACAGAGTAAACTTGTGATAAAAGTTATAGATAATATGATTACAGTAAAAAAAAAAATCTACTCAAAACTCATTCCCCTAGAAAATTTCAATAATCCTTTTTTTACGAAGTTACATCAGTTTAAAGTATCGACAATTCTTCATTGTTCATACTGATACGGTTATGCTCTTCGTTGTGTGTATCCTACAGCAATTTAAAAAAAAGAAAAAAAAAATTCAATTCAATTAACTCTTTTGTTCAGCCTGAAGGGAAGGAAAGAGGAGTTTCGACAGCGAGATCTGACGATACACGGAAACGAGAAGCAGTACGTGACAATTCGTGATCCTATAAAGATGCCACGCATCGACAATCGTTGGATGAGTGGCCCCTTCCGGTCGCCCACTGCCACTATATTATTAACTGGCTGTGTCGCAGCCGTCAGTTTAGACGATGATTTAGTGGATGCATTGATTGGGTCGATCACAGGCCATATCATCTCGTTTAAAGCCTTCCATCATCGGTGCCACTATTTATAGACCATGCACGATCACGACGATCGAATCAATTTTCGTCTATCTGTGTTCTCCACTTCGTGCTGCTGGTAACATAACTAACTAAACAACATTGGGCCGATTGCCGGGCTGCGCGAAGGCCGTAGCTTATTCCTCGTTCCTTCAATTCCCTCTTTGCCTTCTATTCATAGCCGGCGATCTATTCTCTGCGGAGCAGAGTAGCCTTCAGGCGATTGATTTTTATCGAACGAAATACGACAGGAATGCTTCTAAACGATTTTTACGATTTTTTACGATTGCAGGTTGCTCGAGAATCTATTAATTGTTGAGTAAACGTTCCAGACGATCAGTTATAATTTTCTCAGCGATGGAATTTTGATGGTTTCACTCGTAAAAATTTTCCTCCAATTCTAACACGCACGTCGAGCCGACGTATTTCCAACAAAATAAATCTACCAATAATTCGTAAAATTAAATCCCCTGTTATTAAATCACGTTGTTAAATCGTCGGGACCGCTTTCCAGAAAGCTCGCGCGGATTAATAAGCGGGTAATCCGGGACCGAACGTTTCCATCGCGACCGAACTCTCCACTGAGATTGCCATCGAATTCTTCCTTTGATTTCCGGTACAGCGACACACGGTGAAAATCCACGGCCCCGATCAAGGGGATAGAAACAAGAATCGTGTAACGCGTATAACGGCCAAATCAACTGCCAAGCCGCAGAGTTAAATCTCCTTGTGGCGGGGGAGGGGAGAGCAATGGAGAGAGAGAGAGAGAGAGAGGGGGTAGTAGGATGAACGGGGCCACTTCCACGGTAATTAATTAGTCCATCTCGCGAAAGCGATGGCGAGACCCTTCGGAATCGTCGGCGAGGAGAAAAAGTTCAAACGATGGTCGCTGCGGCGAAGGGTTAAAGGTCGGTGGGGAGAGGCGGTGACGGTGGCGAAAGGGTCGCGGGCCAATTTAATTAGTAGAAAAACAAAGGAGACCGAGGAGGCCTATCGGTATCGGTGACGCGACGTTTCCCATCGAACGCCTCGTACGTAGAACGTCGGAGTACATAAATCGCCTCCCCCTTCACCCCCTTTGCTTTTTCACTCGTTTTCACAGCCGCCCTTCTCTGCTTTCTTCGTTCCCTCCCTTTCTTTCGTCCCTCTCTTTATCACGCGCTTCGCGGCATGGCTCCGATATTTTCAAATTAGCGAGCTGATGACTTTCTTTCCGGTTTTTTCTCTCGCTGCCTGCCCCTCCCCCTCGACGCGAGAGAAACAAAGCGTTCCTCGCTCGTTTAATTTTAATCAATACGTCAGGCGTGTCGAGCGCGCCTCCCCCCGCCAGCTTTGATTCCCGATCTGATAGAAACTGATATCAGAATTCGCGGCTGAACACGATGCCCGCAAACATTCCGCTTATTGTTCTCGATTGGCGACAGGACGCGTTGCTTGGCACGCTTTCCGGTCGTGATGTACGACCCAATCGGTTGGGAAAGTGAACGTTGCAACGAATTCGACGCGTCGGGCTCTTATTGGAATTTGGATTTCGCGAACGACGACGGAGAGAGCAACATTAATCACTGATATTCCCATGTTGTGGCCAACTCCCAACGTAAGATGATCGATGAAAAATCGATCGCGAGAAGCCTTCTATCTATCTATTTCTCGCGGCAAATACATAATTCCTTTAAGGCTCCGGTCATTTAAGAGAGCAAGAGAAGAGAACGAAAGAAGGGAAACTTTTCGAGAAGTACTCGGTTAACAAACGTAAGGAAGCGGAAGACCGGATCGATTCTGCTCGACTTGTTCGGTTTCCTGAGAAGAGAAAGAAGAGAAAGAGAGAAAGAGAGAGAGAGAGAGAGAGAGAGAAAAGAAAGAAAAAAAGAAGGAAGAAAACGCTCGGTTCCGGAGGTAGCTAGGCAAACGCGGCCAATAATCGCTGATAATTTATTAAGGGGGAAATGCTCGCGATCCGGCCTTCCACCGGGCATCTGCGTTATTTAAGAAAATAAATATTTGATATCCCAAACAAAGGCTCGTCTACGGCGTCTCTGAGGCAGGAAACGGATAGAGAAGAAGAGACCCGGAGCCCTTAGGGAGGTGGGAGGGGGAGGGTGAGATGAAAACCCGAGGAAAGAGAAGCAGCCACCGCGGCTAAAAAGTGTCGAGGGTGGATCGAGAGTCTCGCACAGCCGACGCGCGGAGGGCTTCAAGGAGAGGGGGTGGCGACTCATTGGCCGTGAAATATGGGGTAAAAGGTTCGATAATTGATTACACAGATTTTTTATGCCGCAAGAAGCCTTAATTCTCGCCGCGCCACCCCTCGATAATTCCGTGCCGGGAAAACCAAGCCGACGAGCCTGGAATATCGAGTCCGATGTAAAACGATCTTCCAACCCTCCGCAGAATGTTCCAGTCTGTTGGGCTGCCGTGAAGAAAAGAAAAAAGAAACCCTTACTTGATCTCTCTCTACTTGGCCGTTCGAATAAGCAGTGACGTAATCGTTGAAGAAAATTTCCTTCCTCGACACATATATATATACTCGTGTACGTACGAATACGCTCTTTGTACGACGAACTTCCAAACTTTGGAAAAAGTTGCAATTTCTTCGAATCCCTATTAGAACGTGGGTAAAGTCGAGAAGACTGTTTCCAGTTGGAAACGATGGAATTTTTCAAGTTGTCAAACGTCGGCCGGAGTGCCGCGTCGAAGTAAATCCGAAGTGTTTTCAACGGTATTCGTGGTCCGCGCTTGACGCGTCAATTATTCACGAGGTACTCGTTGCTCGACCACTCGAGCGCGCCTCGAACGTGCGAAAGGGTCCACATTCGTTATAGGAAGGGTGAAAAAGAGGGTGGGAAGAGGTGTTCTCTTTGACACAGCATTGATATAATATTAATCTAAGCGAGCAAAACTCAAAGGACAACCGTCTGTCTCGTAACGAGTCCTTGTTCCCTGGCGTACGAATTCATGGTAATACAGAAAGCCGCGTATCACAAAAGAGAATACGCGCCCAGCTGCGAAAACAAAACGAAATACACCGCTCGCTCGCCTCCGTTTAGACGCCGAAGCCACGGTGCAAAGTATCAGCCGGCGCGATGACAAACGCAAATTATCGAGCCCATTGCCTTTCGAACGAAAAATGACATTCAAAGAAGGGAAATCTACACCGAAGACGAATAATTAGCTCGATTTTCACTGGCTATGAATATTTGAAATTACACTCTAGCATTTTATAATCATTCGATCATCTTCTCTCGTTTGAATGATTTTTATCGTTGCGTTTTAATCGAACGATGTTGCTCTTTTTTTTTCATTAAATCTTTGAATTACACTCGTGCAAGCAATTGTGGTCGCGAAGCATCAAACCGCAAGATTAGTAAATACAAATTATACATAATGCTTTCAATGTAGAATCTAACTGACAATGAGAGAAAATTCGTAAGGCAAGAGGTTAATTTATTAATCGTAAGAGTGGTAACCGATCGACTCGAATGAATAATAATACATTTAAATCTAATTCCATCAGTTCCATACGTTTGTCCAAGTAAAAGGAGGAAAGCAAGCTGATCGAACGAGTATTATCTTTCAATCTGACTGCCGTTAATCACTGACGAGTAGCTTTCGGTTTTCGTCGAACAGCTTGGCCGTTCCACGTCGGCTTCAACTTCTGCCTGAGTCGGAGAAAACGAACAGCGTGTAAAGTAATCTGCGCGCCACGGTTTTTCCAACCCCCCACGGCATTTTGTCGCTGGTTTTTCCGGCTCTGCCACGTGAGTCTGCATGCGTGCACTCTCGTCTCGGCTCGAGTCGTGACGTTTGTTTTTATGCTTACTTTACCGCGTTGAAAAAACATCGGAAAGTGGCTGCCGGGACGGCAGCGTCGAAATCCCTCCCTCCCTCCCCCCTCCCCCCTCCTCCCCACGTTGTGAAGGGGTTGCACGAGAAACAGGGGCTGAGATTTTTCTTCGCATTGTCGCCGCGTCGAGTTATTTGCTTCTAGCGCCGCTTTGATTGTTCGTAATTGGGCACGTTAATTATGAACCGGGGAAAAGCGAGATGATTCGTTGCTTTCCGAAAGGCCGACCAATTCTACTTTCTATCCGGCTGAGTTATTTTCTTTTTTTTTCTTCTTCTTCTTCTCCTTCTTCTTCCTTTCCTTTCCTTTCTCGTCGAAAAATCCCGATACGTTCCCTGTAAAAATTAACCTCTGCGAAAATATAAATATTGTATTGTCTCCAAAACTCGCGACAGGATACTACCGGGCGATCATAATCGTTGAACGTTCTAAAAATTAGTCATCACTAGGCTGCGGATTTTTCAAAATTGCTACGCGAGACAATTTAATTTTTTTATCGAGCTTCGAAAGAGATTTAGAAATCCCAATAACGGCAGGAACGCCGGGCGAGTAAGATCGTTAAGTTATCGATAAATTCCCCCGGTATCGTTTATGAGCTTTCGACGGTGTTTACTTCTGTACTAAATGCCACCGGGAACTTTTCATTAATGCCCGAACGAATAAATGCCACCGTGCCTACCCCTCCTTAAATTCTTAATGCAGCAAGCCCGGCGGAAAGTACTCCGGGGCCTTCAAAATATCTTCAAGAAGTTTAAAGTCTTCCCTCGATAGTATGTAAATATTGTATGTAAAGCGCGACATCAAAGGGATTCTTCCGTAGTATAATGTCTTAAATTTCGCTTCGCGAAGGAGAGATTAAGGAACAACAGGAGGGCGAGGATATTACGGACGCGTGTAACGTGGAAATGTCCATTTTTTTTCGAAAAAGAGAGAGAGAGAGAGAGAAAGAAACGTCCAAAGATTCATTACGTACACATCTCTGAGCTACACGAATCTCCAAATTCAAATCGCGAAACGACTACAAATACATTTTCGTTTCTCCCCTTCGTGCGCACAGAAGATACTTTCATCACGTAAACAACGTGTTATAATTTTGTTATCATGATTTTCAATTTTTATTCGCGTACGCTTCGAAGAGGTGACACATTCGAAAACGTGAGGGGAAAGCAGCTGAAAACGATATTCCGAGGAATCGTCCTGCAGACTGGGCCAGATCGGATAGCAAAGAATACTTGAAGCGCTGTTTCACGTATCACGGAATTCCTGATGAATATTCAAGAATCTTGCGTCGGACATGTAATTGTCAAAAGGATGGGGATGGTCAAACGCGCAAAGGGAAGAACAGAGTTCGACGCGCGGCAAAGGGACCACAAAATCTCTGCTGGCATTCGTGCCAGGACGTTCGCGAAAACTTTGTTACATTTTTGGTCAGCTCGACGACATACGCTGCCCGAATAAGCCGGATCAAAGGGACAAGCTTGAACGTAACAAGAGGTTGAAAAAGAGGTGCAAACGAAAGAGAAGCAGCGTCGCATTCCTTCCGCGCTCTTCTGTAAAAATTCGCGCAGCGTCGGGGAAAACCCCTTTGGCTCGCCTCGAATGTGCGTCGAATGAACGTCGGAGGGAATAAAACCAGCGCGCCGCGTCGAGATATTATTGGAGAGGCGAGGGACATTCGCAAAACGCGGATTGTCGATCCACGATCGTTTAATAAAGATTCTGCCAGCCTTCAGTTTCACAAATTTCGCTGTGCTTCGTTTTGAAAGTATCACGTACGTGTAAAACCACGACGAGACACGCGAAACTTCCACCGCACCTTCATTCAGACAGGTGACAAGTTGCCTTTACTTTTACTCGTGTGTTTCGAACCTGCGAACTCAACACCGTGTCAATTCCGCGTGGAAGAGTGACTGGCGCGTCTAAGATACTGTCGCGGATGTTCGCATAAATTTCCGATGAGCGCGAACTATTTACTAGAAATAGACCGGCAGTAATTGTCCTCGCTTCGAGTCGTTCGTCTCAAGATGAATTTTTCAAGATTTTCTTTCTCTCGAACGAGTATAATTACCTCCAGTTCTCGACAGATTCAACTCGTTCCGAAAAGCTTCGAAACAGAGAAAAATAAACTCGCTGGATCATCGAAAGCGAAATGCCGAAAGTAGCGATTGTGCTCGATAAGAACAACGAACAGCTTGGCCGGCGAAAAAAAAAAAGAAATAACTGCAAATGTTCGAAGAAGGAGTTTCATCCGCCGAGTTGGTCGAAGCGTGTACGTTCCTTCCTTGGTGAAGAGAGGTGAAGAGAAAAAGGGAAAACGGGCTGGAAGGTGGAGAAGAAGAGTCGAAAAACGGGAGGGAAACGGAGAGAAACGAGCGAGGAAGGCGCTGTGGCGTTGAACCACAGAGGAAACAAAAGGTGCCGCCGGCGAATTAAGAACGATATTTTAACGCTCGACTTAATTGCAGTAAAACCGGGGGATGGAGAGGAGACCAGAGTGGTAAACGAGTACACAGGAAAAGACAGAGAAAGTGAAGAGGGTGAAGAAAATGGAAGAAGTGGAGAAGAGGGGGAGGGAGAAGTTGGGAGAAGGCTGTCAAGAAAAAAATAAGAAAAGCCTGCTGGTCGGTCGGGGGGAGGGGGGAGGGAAAGGGACGCGGATCCAACGTTCGTTGGGACGTTGTTCTATTCCGCGATTGGATGTGCTCTCTCGCGGTAATACGTCGGATTTTCAAAGTGCTGCTTATCGCGACGCCGCTGTACCCTTTGAGCCGAAACAAACAGAGAGTGCTTGCTTTTTTCGCGAAGTGGCCGGGGCGAGAGGCAGAACGGAAGAAACGGATTATGTTTTAGATTCCAACTGGAAGATCGAGGTACAAGGGGTGAGAGAAAACGCAATAGGAGGGTGGGGGAAGAAACGGGTGGAGAGGAAGCGGGCAAACGAGAAAAAGCGGGAAAAAGAAAAGGAAGAGAGTCGGAAGAGAGAGGAAAGAGACAGAGAGAGAGAGAGAGAGAAAGATGGTTCTCGAGACCGCGCGAGATATTTGGAATAAAAGAGTTTTCTTGTAAAAGTGTGTTCCCCCAGTTTTTTGTCGAATGCGGGTACAATACTTTCGAAACCCTCTCTCCAGTTTAAACTATGGGATCGATAAATTTTGCAGTTTGATTCGACTCCTCCGAGGACGTGATGCAAAAAAAAGAAATCAGATTGTACTGCTGTAGCGTGTGGAGAGAATTAAAGATTCATTGTAGCTGTCTACCGTTACGATACCTATTACTGGAAACAAAATCGGGAATCGATGGCACAAGATCGTAATAATGATCTTCCAATTTATTTTTCACTCAATTGTCCATTATCATGATTTAACATATTTTAATTTGTCATTAAATTTTCCATCCAACATATCGATTCGAACGAGTTAACTTTACATATATTTCATGTACGTACAAACGAACCAACTAAAATTTCTCGACTAATTCGGACCGCTTTCCTCTCGATCGATACAACAACGCAGGTATACGAACGGTATTTATAAATGGAATTTAGAAGCTACATACTTATACGGTCGCCAAGTGAAAGTTCTTTCTGTGATTGTCCAATGAGAGCGGCCCCTTGAAGTATCTCTGGCATATCTCGCAGAAGAAACGGAACTTGTTGTCGTGGCACTTTAGATGCTTGTTCAACAGATCCTTCCTGGCGAACGTCTTCTCGCAGTAGGTGCACGAGAATTTGTCTGGATTCACGTGGAACGCGTTGTGCCTCGACAGATTATCGATTCTCGTGTACTTCTTCGTGCAAATGTCGCAGGTGAACATGGTCCTCTCGGAATGGCACCTTTGGTGATACCTCAGGTATCGTTTCTGCGCGAACGTCTTCTTGCATGCACAGCATACCACTTGATTCGACTCGTCCTTCTTCGCGTCCGAGTGATCGGCCAGCTCGTCGCTGTTGTTGAACTCTTGCTTGCAGTACGGGCACGCGTATCGCTTCGTCTGCTTGTGCTTTTGTATGCTTTCCAGGAATGTCGGATCTGTCATGATTTTGTAAAGAAACGTGTCCTTTAACCTCTCGTCAGCGCCCGGGTTCATGTGCGATTCCTCCTCCTCTTGGAAATCCCGTTTGCACAAATTTAAAGCCTCTATCGGTTTGTCCGACTCGTCGCCAGCGTAGGCGGTCAACTCGCTTTCGCGTGCTTTCGAGGAGCCAGCCGCGGAAGGATTTTCCGCATCTGTCTTTAGTATCTGGAATATAGTGGATTCGTTTGATGACAATGCAATAACGTGAGGAGAGTAATTAATATTCAGATCGTGGATGTTCATCATAAACGAGATTTCCTTTTCCTTTCAGAAAACAATCAATATTTCGATAATATCGGCAATATTTTTTTTTACATTTTCACATCCATGATTTATAATATATGATATATAATATGTGTGATATATAATATATGTAATATGTAATAGCAACGTGTACATTGTTATTGTCGTCGTCGCTGATGGACTTTTTTGCCTCTTCCTTTGACCTGCAACTTGGTCCAGCTATCAAGTTGAAGAGGACCGAGTCCCTTTTCGCAGAAGCCTCGATCTGCAAAAATAAATTTATACCATCCTCGCAGAGGCGAAGTCGGACGTTCCGGTGCTTCGTACGTAAAGAAATTGCACGAAAAAAGAAATTGAAATAAATATATAAAATTGTCGTGTAAATTCTATTTACAGAAGCATCGATGTAGTATAGAAATCTCCTCCTCTTTCTAAAATGTAATCAACGTATAACGACTCGAGGGAATGACACTTCGATCCATTTGTTATGCACCGTGCTTCCGAACAACGTGTTATCGCCCGTGTCGTCGACGAATTTTCACACACGCGTACGTACACACACGAATGTCACGCGTCGTACCTTCAGTTTAATCGACATATCCAATACTTTCTCCGAATACTTCGAAGTCTCCTTCTCCTTTTCTTTCTCCTTCTCGTTCTCCTTCTTCTCCTTCTCGTTCGCGACTTTGTTCGATCGACCTTCCGGTTGATTCCCATTCAAAACGCTCGCTCCTTGTGACCGATCCTTGTCGCTTCTCGATGGTTCCTTTTCGTTCGAAGATCGCGTTGTACTTTCAGTTTTTACGCCACGAGCCTCGAACACCGATTCAACGTTGCTTTGAATTACTCGCTGCCTCGGCACGGTTTTCACTCTCATTGTTGTTTACTGCGAAGTCGAACACTGGCTCAACATACATTCGTACGTCTCGGACTTTAAATGAAAAAAAAAAAAAAAAAAAGAAAGAAGAAGAGGAAGAAAGAGATCGATGTATGTGATAACTCTGTCATTCACTACAGAATACGATACAATCTACGCAAAGTTGCTACATACTTACGTACAGGAATGCTTCGACATATCGAGCGATACTTTGTACAATAACAGAGAACATTATTTCGGCCTCGGTGAGTCCGCACACATCGGACTGCTGCGAGGTGACTCGGTTTAGAACAGAGAGGGGCGTGTACTTACATAAGGCATCCGCGCAAAACAGCGAAACACCAGGATTCTCCCTTTTTCGCGGATAGTCTCGATGATTCGATTCATTCGCTCAAGGAAGAGATGGTTCAGCGCGCGACACACATTTCGCGACGCGTCGACGACGGTGACTGACTGAGAAGAAACCGTGTTTAGTTGACCTCGTGCTGACTTTGACGGTTGACACAACAAAGGGCGCCTGGCGGAGTCGCCGCACGGAAATCCAAGTTTGCAAACACCGGGGCCTGCCTTCGAAACGAAATCCAAGCCGCTTATCCGTGCCGATTTCCATTAACAGCTCGTACTTTTCCTATCGATGTTTGCTCGCATCGCCGATCGTATGTCGGTCGTATCAACGCGTTTCGCAACACAAGCTTTCGTCTCTCTACTCGCAATACACGCAGCTCCGACGATTCCCTGAATCGTGTTTTCAATCTCGAGAGGATCGAGACTCTCTGGTCGTTCTCTGATCATTATTCTTTGTAATTTCGGAGAGTGTTCAACTTCACGAGTACAATTAGTCGCGAGAGAACCGTCCTCTTTCGGCAAAAGAACAGAAACTTATTCGTCGAACGAATGCCGTACGAAAACCGAAGAAACGAACAGGATAAAAGAGAAGAATAGAATGCAAACGAAACAACCGGTAAAGAGACAGACAGACGGATGGACGGACGGACCGACAGTCAGTCAGAGAGTCAGACAGTCGGAGGGTGGAGGACGGACAAGGGCAAGGGGGTGAAGATGGGGTCAAGCATAAAATTGGAGGGGAGGGCGGAAGGAGAGGAGGCTGGATGTTTGGTAGGATGTTTCGTATCCCCTCCCCGCACGTCCCAGTCGTTAATACGGCATAAGGAGGAAGCAGGGTTAAGCGAGGGTGAAGCGAGGATTTTTAATTGTAGTTCAGTCGGTATAACCCCGCTCGACCCGCCGGTATTGTCATACCGGGGCGGCGCTTTTCTTTATTTCCCCAGTGGCTGGATGAGGTTATACATTTTTTTTAACTACGGCAATGCCTCCGTCTTCTTATTAGCAAAGCTAATTGGAAATACAAATGGTTATTCACGGTAAGAAGGAAGCCTGAAGACCGGGCTGCCAGAGAGCCCAAGTACTAACCGATGCGACGGAGGGCTCCCACGAACGAGAGAGAGAGAGAGAGAGAGAGAGAGAAGGCGGCACAGGGGGAGGGGGAGAGGGAGAAGAGGACGAGGAAGCCTGGTACACTTCTCTCTCCGCGTATTAAGCTTGTATTTGCCCCGGATAATTAGGACTTTTTCCCGACCAATTCGGATGAATAATTGATTTTGCTTCAGCCTGCCCCCTCGGCGTGCCCTCTCCCTCCAACCCCTCCTGTCGCTTCTGCTCCTCCTCTCGTCGAATGACAATCACCCGAAGAAAAATACAGATCTTTCGGATGAAATATTCAGCGCGCTGGTGGAACGGGCAACCATTTACCACCTGGTCTATCGCTCGATCAAAATACTCGAAGTGACTGAATAATTTGCCACCGCCCGTGTCTGATAAATTCTTTCGGCAAATTACGCCCGACCGCGCGCTAAGAGGAGGGAGAATTACAAATTAAACGAACCCGAATGTTGGCTCGTTACTTGGACTCGTTTCTGTATCCTTGCGATCGATTGCAACGTGTTCAATCAAAGATGATTCGAGCAAACCCCGTGCGAAGGGAAAGAACGACAAGGCGAGGATTAAACGTGGAATTCGCGGAACATCGGCCGGATAACGAAATATCGGTTAAACGAAAGGGGAAAGGGGATTTGTTTGCGAAGATTCGCAGTGCGTTATGAAGCGGAACGAAGGAAGGGATAGTCGGTCAAGCAGCAATCTCGCGCAGGAGCCCTCTTTCCCGCCTGGCCACCAAGATACGCCCGTGGGGCCGCGCAACTTTTTTTCATCAGCATTTTACGGTTATACTCGCGCATTAATAATGCACATGCTTAATATAAAAAGAAGCCGGCGAGTCTCCGTCTAATAAACTGGAAGAATGCTTTATAACCGGCCGCGGTTTCGGGTCATGAGGAGGAGAGGGTGGCACAGAGGAAAAGAGGGAGAGAGAGAGAGAGAGTTTGCTGAAAGCCGGCTAAAGGG